AATTAAACTAACTAAATAAATGGCTGACTAACAAATACGGTGAATATTTCAGGTTAATACGAAATGGAAGAAAATTTGATTGATTTACGAGGCAATAAATATCAACTTGAAAATATCAGGGCAATCCACGTTTCACGTACGGACTCTTAAGAAAAATTCGTAAAGCCTAACATCATAATTGAATTTTGGACGAGAAAAGAGAGAAAAAAGATCTAAAACCTACTGCTCAATTTTGAATAAATTTTGAAACCACACTAAAATTTGAAAAAATAAAGAAAGAGACCTTTTGTCCAATGTAAATAGAAATAACATATGCAATGGACGATGTTATGCTATGGAACCAGTTTTCTTGCATCCACTTGGTTGATTCCATCATATTAAATTTTGCTTCAAATGGCATCGTATAAAGGTAATTTTCCAACCCATAATAGGGCCAATACTCCCATCGAGCCATTTAGGACGAATTCTGAAATGAATTTTGAATTTCACCTAAGTCATTTTCTTGTTTTATTTCGCTTCAATTACAAACAAATAAACGTAGCGTCTCAATAAATATGCGATTAATTAACTTGATGATTAAACTGTCACTCTGATGTTATAAAACAACAAACATTTATTATCATTATCACTATATTGTCTCTTCATAAAATCTGAAAAATTGCAACGAAGAAAGAAAAAAAACGGAATAATGTAAAAACGTGACAAAATAAGTTGTGTATATATTGTAATGTTCAAGGACTATACTGATTAATATGTCAATATCGGATGAAGGCAAAAAGTGAAAAAGAAATGAATACGTCGTCAATAACGGGTGATGGAGAAAGTTGAAAAAATGATGAGGAAAAAGATGAAGAACGAGAAGTTGCAACGTTATAAATAATGATACAGACGTAAACCAAGTGGAAAAATAAATCGGCTACATTTCTATGCTCTAGTAACATTCGGTTGTCCATTCTTAAAGCAAATGACGAGACATCAAGATTAGTACGATGAATGACCGACGTACTGTGGACTTTGATCCCTGTTGCTTGTCAAACTTCCAAGAAGCTAACCATTTTCTTTTCTTCCTTCTCATCTGCTATCTTCCTACATTACCTCTCTCATTGCCCTATTTGCTCATTTAAACCCAGGGAAACAGACAAAAAAAGGAAAAAAGAAAAAAACTGAAACTTCAGGTATTCCAAAAACCAAAGGTTAATTGTTAGATTACAGCAAATGTACGACTATTTCGCTTTGCGGTGGCATACAGTTAAAAGGTCATCATCGAATGTACTGAATAATTTTACTAGAGACTGAAGCATTGTTAAAGATGTAAGGGTGAAGCATGCGATGAGCTCGTTCATCAAGTTAAAATCAATAATGATGGAACAAGCAAAAAATTTAGCGTGTCAACTTCTTCATACGTGAGATTCCCCTTACTCATCAAGGATCCTCAAGATCTTCAGGATTATCTAAAAATTCTCGTCCGTTATAATTTCATCCTCATGAAATTAAAAATTGCTCTTCTGCGATCTATTGAAAATCGATTAATACCGATATTTTTATCGCCTTCCAAGTAAAGCATTCTGAAACTTCAAATTTAAATATATTTTAGTATTTTAATTTTCAACAATTTTTCTCTTCTTTTTGGAATATGCCAAAAATTTCTGATTCATTCAAATTCCGTTCTATTTTCTATTAAATGTTCAATATCTGCAGTAAACTGCCTCGTACTTTTGTGCAATTCAAAGAATTGATGATGCAATTGCTTCTGTTGAAACTTTTCTGCAATTCGGATATGTTGCAATAGTATATTCAGCTGGAAGTAATTACTTGTAAATTAACTGTCTTTTATAAATTGGCTTCAAATGTTAGAAAAATTGAGAAAATTGCCAAATGCTTGATACATTATGCAACTCCTCAAAATTTTCCAGTCAGTAATTAATGCTTAACAGAGTTAAACACGTAAATATTCATAAGTAAATATAAAACATTCATCACAATTAGCAAATTAGGTTAGTGAAAGTTTACTGCTGTTGGAATTACAGTAATATCAAATCTTCCATACATTGATAAAAAATCGTTCATCAAATATAAATAATAAGGCCTTTCTGATTTTTCTTTGCTCTTGGACCGTTTATTCTTACATCGTCCATAATTCAATAATTATCACGAAATTATTTGATGTAATCAGGTTGATTAAGTATAACTCAGAGATATATGATCATCCTAAAGTAATCTTTTTTTGATCGTCTTCCTAAAACGGCTAATTTTTAATGATTGAATAAATGAATAAATAAACAAATAAGCATATATTTCCTTTCCTACTACATACATATAGCAGCGGAAAGCATCGATAAAGCATTTCACTGTTATAATCAATCACTCCTTGGCAACACTGAATCATATGAATCATAGAAGCTTATTTAAACACTGTAAAACAAAATTCCTTATCATATAAGATCATAAAATACATCAAATAGAATTAAAAATTTTTTTAAACATATAAATTGAAACTGATATTAAAGCTATTTCCAAGAATGGTGAAGAAATTAGTAAGCTTGCAGCAAAATCAATACATCCAATAACGAAAACATTATAAGAAGAAAAAGAGAAACAATCAATCATAAATGATATTACGGTTTAACTTTCATATCAATCTATAAGCAACAGCATAATTTGCAATAATAGTTATAAAAATGAAAAAGACTGTCATGTTACTTTACAAATATATATGTATTATTAGAAGTATATCAAAAAAAGAAAGAAAGAAAATTATTAAGCCAAGCAGTTAATTTGTTAAAGACCTTGAACAGATAATGAAAAAGAAAATTTTTTGCTGGGTTTCAATTAAGTTTGAAACTGAATAATGATGATAAAAAGATGAGAAGAAGTCATAACGCATCAACCATTCGTAAATTAACTGATTGATAAAGTTGTTCAGTCTGATACCAAGCAATTAAATTGATTAAATAACTAGATCAAAAGCAAAAAGGGCAATTGTACAGTTTCTAATCTAAGGGAAAGATAAGACGAAAAATGAGGACGACAAAGATTAAGAGAGATGTAAAATACGAACAGAATGAAATGTGATACGAAATGGAAGAGCAGTACGAAGAAATCGAATTCCATCAGTTGTAAAGGTGCAAGCTGGTAAATTTCATTCTCTCTTAATCTCTTTATTTTATATATTTGAAAGTGGTTTTCAATCAAAAAAAAAGAAAAGATAAATACACTTCAAATTTAAACAATTTTTGCTACATCATATTAAAATATGATAGAGATTTAAATTCTAGCCAGCTTCAATTTTATACTTTATCACACAATCTCTCTCTTACAGAACTTTTTTGATTCTCATCACTGTAGCAAGAATAGTGTAAAAGAGTGTAATAGTTTGGTCTCATATTGATCCTATTGATGTACTTTCATATTAGCAGGAAATATTAGCGCAATTTAAATCTGAAAAAAAAAAATAATTTTTTCCTGGCAAAAACTCGTTTTTTACAAATTGTAGTACAAACCACTTCTGTTTAGTATCATCATCTGAAATGAAACAGTATCTTCATACATTTGTCTGCATAATATCAACCTAATTAATTATAAAATGAAATTAGTAGGCGGAAATAGGATAATGATTAAATCAAGAAAAATGTTGATTCTATAAGGGTAAAAGATGAAAGGACCGATGATGACAAGTTAATAATAAAGTTAAAAATGACAGGTTAAACACGATGATACAAAGTTAAACATTAACATGCAAGAAGTAAGCAGTTATAATACGAAGTGAATAGTAATCGAATAAAATATATCTGAAAAAAGAATGTGGGAGCTCGTATATGGGAACTGGTAGGATTTTAAATTTGAAAATATTAAATTAAAATGAGTATTTCAAATCAAATTATTAACAAAATCATTTTAATAATACCATTAAAATTTTAACTTTTCAAACAACAGAAGATTAAAGAGAAGTGTAAAAAGGAGTGTGGATAATGGGATTATATCGTCAAAATGACAAATTCTCCTGTAATGGTGTATATATAGAGAGATTGGAAATCTAGCAGAACTTATATTTGATCAAATTGTATTAATCGTTATGAATCTAAAATGCCTTTAGTATTATTATTATTATTTTTTTTTGTTAATCATTTATCATCTTTCGATCAATCTTTATCAATAAACTTATAGGTTTAATTTTAATGAAATAATAATTAACAAAATTGCTTTATCATATAATATTTCCCATTCAAAATTGAATCAAAAAAAGTATGGCATAAATGCACATGTAAAATATTATAGAAGTGTAAAAAAGCAATGATAGATCTTTTATTCCAAAGAATGCGTAAATGATCAAAATTGATAACAAGATAAATAGCTTTTATTAGCTAACAATTTAATTGCTTGACATGCAGAATGAAGAAAAAAATATAGTAAATTTTATTTATAGAGAATTAATAGAAAACAGTAAGCGAAATAAAAGACAGTGTAAAATTTAAAATGACCTGAAATACAAATGCTTTTTGTTTGAATAAAAGTTAGAAATTTAATGAAAAATTAACAAACAACATTTACAAATAGTTCATATATTTTAATGAAACGGATACGCTTTTAAATGACGATGTACCTGTGTTCCAGGCAATAATTTATAGGAATTTAATAGAATAAGTACAAATGATGAGATCTAATAAAAATAATTGCCGAAGCTGATAAGAAGATGATAAGTTAATGCAGAGAGACTATTGTACTATAATACTCAAATCCATAGTGCTTTTCACGGATGTACGAATATTAACTTGTTATACGCAAAGAACAATCATTAAGAGGGGAATAATTTAACATAATTTAGAAGTTTTAAATGGAACAAAAAATTTCCCTATCGAGAAACTTTAAAAAGGACTAATCATATAGGTTGGATTTCTATAATGTCAAAATAACTTATCTAAGAAATTTTGCAAAATATAATCAAATTCATACGATTAACATGATATACTTCGAAGTCTTCACATTCTTCTCGATTAAATGCATCACCAGAATCCCGTAGAACGTCCACCTGGTGGATTCAATACTTTTGTGGATGCACGTATATTACTTGTGTCATCCGGCGTTGCTGAAAACAATACCAAATTTATGAAATTATGAGCCCAATGAGAACAAAGTTTTAACGTTAAGTAAATGCAAAGTTAATTGAAATTTTTGAATGGAAAGAAACTGAAACAAACCGGAATAAACTGAATCAAATTGTTGCCTTTGTACGTTTTTCACGGGAAATGATCGGCTACTATTACTCAAGTTCTCTTTAAGATGTGATTGATGGCTGTATGATACTATGCCTTCATTTGTGCTGCCATTAGGTTGCACCTGGATTAACTTTTTAATAACTTATAATTTATGTAAATACTTTCCGACGTGATTAACCAATGAAGTAACTATGATAACCATCGTTTTCTAAAACTGGAAACTTCTGGAAAAACTTGCAATAGATATGAACTAACCCCTTCCACTTGCTTCAGCATGCAGTATAAATAGGGAGAATGTGATTTAAGCTCCATCAGTTTACCTCGTCCTAAGTCAAACTGAAAAATTAATTACATTAATTAATCAAATTGTAAATTGTATAGCAATACTAAAACACAAAACTAAAATTCAAAATATTTTTCATTACATACAACCGCTCAACAACCCAACCTGCGAATGAATAAGCGGAATAATTTAAGCCCTTTTCAAGAACTGTGTATCCTTATTGAACTGAATGGTCAAGTAATTCATATGAAGCTGATTAAATTAATTTTTAAAAATATTCGAAGAGATGAAATAAATCTCGCAGTGAATCTAAAGCTTTAAGACATTTAGAACTTTAACCAATTTAACTGAAATAAACAAATTTTCAAAAATTGTGACCTTTCCGTTATTGTAAGCAATTCGTCCACCGCAAATAGTCATTATAGGTTTTGAATGGGCAGTCGATCCTTTCAATAGCGATGGGTGTTGATTTAAGTTGGACGTTTGATGATCCATGGACAATTTCCACAAGACCAAATCCGCATCTGCTCCAACGGCAATTTTTCCCTAAATTTGTAGCCCAAAATAAATGGCTTGTTTTTTTTTACTATTCTTGCTACACAAATTTAGACCTATCAAACAAATAAGACAATTACCATATAATGACAAAGTTAAGTGAATCAATTCTTGAAGATTTCAACAAAAGGAATCAAATTTTTGGCCGGAAAAAAACCTTTTTAGGATAAAGATTAAACACTTTGGCAGCATTACTGCTGGTAACAGCAACGAAACGCATTGGATCGATGAATCCTGACAAAACACCTTTGGCCCACAATATCGACATTTTCTCTTCCACTGAGGATACAGCATTTTGTCCGAAATTTTCCGTGGTTGAATCTTTTTTTCGCATTTTACAATGATCGGATATACAGATGCATAATGGTAAACTAAAAATGTTGGTTTATTTTAATTTGCATGTTTAAGCAAATTTTTCGTCTTAGTAAATTTCAAATATTGTAGATCAGAAATTAGAATTCTATAAAATGTTCCAATGAATTAAAATTGCTTTTTCCTTATTTACTTTCTAAAAGTCAAAATAAAAAACGAAATAGGATTAGTCACCTAGAAAGACAAGATATTAATGCAGACGGTGATTCAGCATATCTCCATGAAATGTGCAAAGCTGAATTGCTTTTTCCAGCATCCAGTGCTGTTACGGGAATCTAAACACATTCCGAATTGTATATATGTTTCTATATAATCGATTTTAAGAATTCTAAAATTATCCTGAATGATGGATTTATTGAACTTTAAGAAGCAGAAAGTTTCTTAGTTTATAAATATTACCTCTGGTATAAGTATGTTACTACGCTGCCGCAGTAAAACCTCAGCAGCTCCTGGAGAAGATAACGACATCACTGTAACCGGACAATTTGTTAATTTGGAAAGTACAGAAATATGATTTACCATATCTGCTTCCAGCTACAACAGAAACAGAATAATTGACATAATTAATTCTAAGAAACTTATTCAATCATTTTTGGACCAAAAAAATTTATAGTGGATTATTTGTCAATTAATACGAGAATGACACACGATATTTGGTATTCGGACTCGATATAAAAATAGTTATATAATCCTATCTTTCACTCTCCCTAATATTCCAAACTAATTTTGTGATCAGAAATATAAAACATTACCAAAATGAGAAAGAAAAGTAAGGACAGTTAAAGAAACAGTAATAACCCTCTTTAAATATTAACATTCAGCCATAGCAGTAGATACATTACCGCTTAGCCTTCAGCATCATTTCCTGGAAATTCCAGCAATGATCAATAATGATTGAAGGTAATGAAAGGAATGCAGCAAATAGCATACCGCTTCCGGTCTTGAAAGCTGGGAACATTTCGTACCATTAATACCAGATGCACGTAATCGATTTTCTAACAAAGCAATGATATCCTTATTTTCTGGAAGTATACGAGCGTGAACTCGAAGACTTCGACAATATTCGAAAATCTGCAATTCAAAGTACTAAAACAAAGAAAAAACGATGAGATAAGAATGAAATGTAAGTGAGGTTAAAGTTTTAAAAACAAAGAATAAAGTTCTAGAAATTATTAATCTTAAATGATTAATACATAAATGCAAGAAAAAAAACAAAAGAAAGCCTATAGAAACAAAAATCCTCAAATTTCAATATTTAATTTCCAACAAAAGTTTAAAGTTATTTCTGATTTAATATTTGAAATTTAGAAAGTGAAATATGCGAGCAAAAATATGACAATCAAAATTATTACAAGAAGGAAATGAGCAAAGAATTAACCTCAAAAAGTTGTTCGTCTTTCTGGATATTAATAATAAAACTATTAATGCCTTTGTCATGTACCAATGTATTCATTTCTTTTTTTATCATATCATTCCATTCCGAAATTACCACACTGAATGCAACATTACATGATGATTTTGATTGCGCAACTTTGCACAAACGATCATATGCATTTAGTAATGTTTCATTCAGCCTTGGTTGGATAACATTAATTATCTGAAGAACAAAATAAGTAAAACAAAAGAAAGAGAAAATACTGTTAATTTTCTTTCTTCTCTTTTCTCTAAATTTTAACCAATATGAAAAAGGAGAATAGGAATACTGTTAATGAGAATAACATTATAATGATATAAAGTAATATGAAGAATGATTATGCATTTTAATCGCTTGTATATAAAAATTTTTTAATTAAAATCAGCAACATAACTATTAGGAATTAATTGAGGAAATTGGACAGACATTTTATAAATAAATTTAATATATCGAATATTTATTGAATATTGAATATTTTACAATCATTCATTAAATACATGAATGCATCTGTATTTCAAAGAAGAAATTTCTTTTAAAAATTTTAATTAAATGAAGGGAAATAAATGTACCGTAGTGGTACCACCAGCTAATGCAGCTTTTGAACCGGTTTCGAAGTCATCAACAGAATCCGGTGATGAGAATTCTGTATGAATTTCGATACCCGCGGGCATTAATGCTTTATCAGTTCCATCGATAATTTGTGCTCCTTGCGGTTCTTCGATCTTACTAGACAACTCCCTTAATATTAATTACTTTTACCGGGTGAAATGAATATTGCAGCCAAAATTAGGACTGCCAGTGAATTCAACCTAGTTATCCTTTTCGGTTATTTTTTTCAACCTTATAAATAGCTTAAAACTTATCTACTCATCCCAAATTTACTTTAATTATTATGTTCTAATTGCAATAAAACTGTAACGAAACAAAAAAAAAGAAATCACATGTCATTCTAACATTTATAATTCAGTATATCAGGTTGAATAGGTAAGTTGAATAAGTAAATTCGAATTGAATCAATTTTTCTGAATCTAAACTTATGAATATGAAATTCAATAATATCTATTCCCTGCATAGTGAAATTATTGGCAAAAAATTTTTCAATTAAATAATAAAATTAGCTTAGCCTTTACTGAATGATGCCATCTTGAATGAGTACATCTGCCACATAGATTGAATCATCGTTAATAATTTGCACGCCTTTGATAAATATAGATCCAAATGTGCTACCGTTTCCGGAATTCATTGATGTTCCTGTTATCGGTACTGTTACTGGTGTTGTTACTCCTGTTGTTGCTGCTGGTGCTACTGCTACTCCAACTGATGATTTCATCGCATCCGCTGTCGCATTCGTTGTCACCATTGTCGATAGACCTCCTCCAATGCCTCCGCCTTCTTCCGCTATATTACGTACTGCATTACTGCCTACTGCTCCCACTGCGTGACTTGTTGTGGCCAATATTGGGAAGCTATTGCTGGTGCATTCTTTTTTTCTCAATATATCATCATCCTCTATTTTATTTCCTCCATCCTCACCATCACCAGCTGTATTATCGAAATATTCTGGACCAGGCTTATCGTGGCTTAAATCATTCTTGGATAATCGTTTCATATCTTCCTTCGATTTACTACCCTTCATTCGGCCTAGTTCCACCTCTTTCTTCATCATTATTTGCCCCTCATTATCCTTCACATAAAGGTCATCACTCGTCCCCCTTTCACTTTCCACTCCAGGCAAATGCTCTGGTCCTGGCTCACCCAAATATCTTCCATATCCTTTCACTTGTCGACTCTTACTCATTTCATCCGATCGATCAGCACCACTGTTACCACTCATAGCAGCTGAAAGATCGTTACTTTCTTTTAATTCTCCATATCTTTTGTTTTTTTTGGATGGTGGTAGCTCACGTTCTTCGATGAACTGAAAACATGCATTTGAACCCGTAATTGGCTTCATACCGAAAAACTCCAGCATTGCCGGCGAAACATCCAAACCTTTCCGGACCAAACGTTTCGATGACACGACTGCAGCAGTAGGTGTGGTCGTTGTTGTTGTGTTATCTTGCAGTACGTTTCCGATTGATTGCAACGACGTACTGCTTGTTTTACTACTTATCGAACGCGGTGAAGGACTAACATGAGATGATGCGGAAGTGGAAGAACGCGATCCTGTCCTTTCCGGTGATTTTGGAGGTATCGTATGTGACAAGGGTGTTGGTGTCATAGGTTTTGATTTCCTTGTAACAATTTGCGATGTCGTTCTACCAGAAATGGTACCGTCGCTATCACTGATACCACTTCCTGTACCACGCAATCTATCAAACGAAATAGCATGTTTCAGTTTTTTTTCGCTATAGCAAACTTCAACTGGTGAATTGGCTGTTGACCGGATATGAAATGTATATAAATGCCCCTTAAGGGGCGCTAAGAATGGAAAAATTTTGACTGTATCGTTTGGTCGCCCTCAACGACCACTTATAAGGGCAAAGTACTGAAGTCTTCTTTACCACATAATTTCCTCAAATTTCCCATTGCATCGCTTGCAAATGACAAAATGATGATCATACAATGCAGTCAAATTTTCTTGCCAATGATTCATAAATTATCCTTAAAAAAAAGTACCATTATATTCGAAAGCCTTAAATTAAAAACCAAAACGAGCCACAATTATAGGATTTCAAAGTATCAATTGAAATAACAATACTGCTCTTTTCCTCTTTACATTTTTTTTTTGAATTTGAAAATCCAAAGATTTCGAGAGAAGTAAAAGAAGAAGCATAATATCGGATAATTCTAACATATGTCATAAATGGTCTAAATTAGCATAATCAGACAACATGATAAACATAACTAGGCTTAGAAGGATAGATTTGAAATATCGACAAGCTGTTTAATTAAACATAATAGATGTGTGCATTTGTCGTTTCAGTCCTCTTTTTTTCTTCATTACTGCTAGCAAAAGCAAAAACAAAGAAATAATACATTACACACAATTTAAGTAATTAAATGAAATTTGATGGAAGATGGGAACTTCGCCTTTCTGAAAGTTGAAATTTCAGCAATTTAATTGTTGAAAAAAAAGATGTATTGTGGGAATGCAACAATTTTTAAGAACTTGCAGAATGAAAAGAAGGAAAATTCTCCCGTTCTTTTCGAAATGAAACTATCGCTTTTTTTAATCTTCTAATAATAAAAAATAAAAAGACAAGGAAAATAAAATGAAATTTCAAAATTTCATTAATTTATAGGAAAGATAAAAATGATGGCAAATTAGGGAAATGAAAAATAGGGTAAAATTATCGACAAAATATTAGAATTGAAGCTATTTGTCCTTTTATGTTAACATTCAATTAGTTACTATTGTATCAGTCTTCAATATAATTTTACCAATTCTTGAATCCATTTCAAAATGATCTTTCTCTCATATCTAGTTTTCGTTCATTCAATCAATTGGAGTTAATAAATTATTAAAATTTTCCTCTGAAATAAAAGTTAACATGCGAGAAAACTTTCGTATCCTCCAACTCTAAGGTCAAGTAAGAAGTACCATTGCATAATTTATTTAATTGTTAATTTTGTATTATATTTTTTCATTGTTTTTTTAAATGAAAAATGAAAGAAAAATAAATTTAAGCTTTTTAATACTTTTTTTTTACTTAAAAAATTCACCTTTTTTATCGGATCGTTTTCTTTTGAAAAAAATGCAACAGTTTTGAAGATAACGAGAATTTACAGAAATTTGCAAATTATCAAACTAGCTTATTAAATAATTATCCTTTAACTAAATTAGTAATACTAAAAGAAATAGGAAAGAATTTGCTTGGTACCAACCACTTCGCTGTTAATAGCGTCAATATTTACATTTCACGAAAATATTGTTGAAATATTTAAAACAAAACAAAAAAAGAAAAAGTAGAAGTAATGAATGATTTGAAATTATCACACTGCTGATATGAAAATATCGTAAGATATTTCGCCTAAAAATGACCAAATATGAAATTACTTTCTTTCAATATTTTGTAGTTAAAATAAAAAAGGGAAAGAATAAAGAAGGAAAGAATTATTCGAAATCGATAAATAAAAAAGTTGAAAAATTAGTGTTGCAATTTGTTAGAATTATTGAAGAACAAATCTTCTTAATTAATTTCAACAGCTGAAATAATGACAAATACAAATGGAACAACAGTTAGTTACAACTGAATTCATATGCTGCTTTAATTAATTCTAAGCATTTCTTCGAATTTACGAAACAATTAAAATACTGAATAAATATTGTAATTAAAAAAAAAAGCATACATATTAGAAATATTAGACGAATATTAATTATTATTAGAAATATTAGACGAATATTAATTATTAAATATTAGACGAACATTAATTAGAAAATATTAGACGGAATATGAAAGAGAAGAAGTTAGAATTTTATATTTTAGGAAAAATAAATTTTGGAAATGGAAAAAAAAGAAAGGGAAATGATATGATATGAAATTGATTTTACGAAAAAGGATAGATGTGTTTTTGCAAGTTTGTCGTATCCTTTAAAGAAAAAGAAGAGAAGATGAGAGTAAAATGTAAAGTGGAAAAACTTTGATTAACATTTTGAAGAAATTTTACGAACGTTAGCAGTATTTCAACATGAAATGAAATTACAAATGTGAAATTACTATATCAAATTTTATAAATGAATAAATCAAT